ATTTGTGCAGAATGATTTCCTGGAGAATTGTTCACACTATGGGCTGCCATGCAAAGATGTTCCTAGGTCAGGGCAGATATCCCTGGCTCACTCAAGGTGGACTCCTAGGTGGACGAGACATGTCCTCAAGTCCCCAGGCAGGGCTCACACTTTTAGGCAAAGCATCTTCATCAGATAAAGCCCTCTCCTATTTCTCCATTTTTCCCTACATTAAGCAATACTCACAATTTACCGGTCTCTCAATTTTTTCTTTTGCTCAGGCTCCTTTTGTTATAGTGTAATTAACTGCATACTAGTATGGTGCAGTTGCTTGATTACAAATCTAAATTAGAGTAGCAGCAAGTAGCCACTCAGCTGAAATAGAGCAGTACATAAAGGAGACCGGTTCCCACCACGGACTCCTCTCAAAGGCAGCACATTTCCCAGCACCGAGCACTGCTCACGTGGGAGGATCACTAGCCGGGGCCCTGGGGATCATCAACGGATCTGGGAAAATCAGTGAGGAATAGTTTCCTCGAAATTCTTATTACTCAGATAGAGAAATTATGAAAGAAAACAAATGTTTTTCCCTTAAAATCAGATCTTACGGTTTAGATCATTTGTTAATCATGAAATGAAATGATTATGCATACTATTTTTCTTAACTCAGACCCACAAATTCACAGGACAAGTGTGGACACTGCCCTAATTTGCCCTCGGTGTTCCTCGGCTTCCGAGCTCCCCACTCGCCCGCCCCCTGGCTCTCCGAACCTGGCTTCCACCCACCCCACCCTACTTCATGAAATGCTGCTTCGGCAGGACAGAAACTGCCTTTTATATAGCTTAAAAAGAAAGGGAGTATCAAGATATCTCAAACACTAATGGGATATATTAAAGCAATTCAATCATTTTAATCTGTTTCATATATCACAAAATTATGTAGAACAATTTCATTGAAGTGTTAGCATCACTGTTGAGGCTCCAATTGTGAACTATTACAGCAGCGAATATCGGGGAACATGAGTGCTAGCAAGGTTCTATGGCAGGGTATGCAACTGAAGACCAGAGCAACACCAGCAAGAAATTTCCATCATAATCAGCTTATTCATTCTGTAATAACCTCCTTAGGAATCGGGCTTCGAGATTATAACATCCTATGATTAGTTTTAGTCCGAAGTTAATGTTGTGCTTTGAGTGAGTGTTTGCTTTACCCAACTTCCAACACTCTCGCATACAGTGAGAATACTTTTAATTATAAAATAATTATAAAAATAAATTGAATAAAATAAATGAACAATAGCTCAAAAGAAGATGAATTAGGCCATTTAAAGACTACACAGAGAAAGTCTTCTTTAAAAGACAAAATGCATTTGAAAGTTAAAAGTAAGGAAAGCTAGGTTTCATGAAGTGGAAATTACTTTTCATTTAATTTAATCACATATTTCCTGTTCCATGATAAGACTTATTCACACTGCATGTGATATATTGAACTCTTTGGATATTTAGTTGTATATGGCAAGGACAGAGAGGATTCCCTGATTATTTTTCAATAAGAATGTTTCACCCCAGTGAATACTCAAAAGCAAATGCATAAACTCCATGGCTTTTGCATTGTTGTCTTATCAATAATACAAATTAAACCAGGAAAATCAAACCTGAGAAATGTCTTCATCCTACTACTCTGGTAACTTCTTCACTTTCAACCTAATATGTATACGCTAGATGTAATTGTGAGCAGTAGCGTCACCAAAATTCTTCTTTTCACATCACATATCAATCCAGATACACAATTCATAAATGAATTAAAAATACATTAAAGCAAGGCCTGGTGGTGCACACTTGTGATCCCAGGACCCTGGGAGGCTGAGACAGGAAGACTGCAAGTTCCAGCCTAGACCAAGAAACATGGTTAGCAAGCCTACCTCAAAATAAAAATACGATAATGAATTGAAAAGTTTGTGGTTGTGACTCAGTATGAAGGCACTGGCTTCACTCCTTGGTAACACAGACACACACACACACACACAGACACACACACACACACACAATCAATATATTTATTCTGTTGTGCAAAAACATATAAACATAAAGCTATAGCTGTATAATTAATAAAAACAGCATAGTGAATGAAACCCATAGGAAACTATATTGGGCTTACAAAAGAAGATTCATTCCTATTCACTCTGGTTTAATTAAACTGCAGTGATAATAATTAAGCATAAATGGATCCATTCATTTCCTATCCAAGAAGTTGAATACTAATCTGGTCTGGATCATCTACTTGGTGTTTAAACCCTTAGGAAACGTGGTTGGAAACTTTCAAGAGATACCAATGTCATAAAAATTCATGCAAGTGCACACACAGACATCTCATACAAGAGTTTTGTGTTTTGATTTGTGAAAAATACTATGTAGACAGAGAAATACATATAGAACCATGAAATATTAATTAAGTAAAATTCCTATGCTGCCATTTTAAGTTCCATTAGGATTGAGAAAAAAAATTAAAATGAACCATGAATTTGTTTTTCTAGTATGGATCACTCATAGTTAACATTTCAGTGGTCAAATGTTCCCAAGGTTCTTGAAGGTTCCTTGTCTATTACAATGATTAAAATCTGACAATCTCATCAACACAGTCAACCACCACAACTCTGCAATCCACAGACTCGAGCTGTGCTGCCACTGGGATGGGGAGCTACACTAGGGGACCAGGAGTCAAGGGGCAGACAGGCAGCCCAGCGCAGGACCCAGACTCAGACCACTGCATTTCCACTAATTTTCAGCAGGACCAATGCATTCTGCAAATGAAATGTGCGACCTGCCAGCTTCACCAGCCACCTCTTCCCATGCTGGGTTCCATCAGCCCCACTCACACAGGTGCAGAGTTCCGCAGGGAGAATCTGTCATTATGTACAGGTATGGAGAAGGAAACAGAAATGATCTCCCCTCCTCCGCAAAAAATCTATGAACTATTTTCAGGTATTTGACAGTCACTTGTTTTTAAAAGTTACGTATTTTTAAAGTCACAGGCCTTCTCCTCAAATTCTTTCATAGTACCTACTGAACATTTCAATTCCAGCCATTAGCAGCTATTACTAGCAAAAGCAAGAAACACAAGTGACAAATAGCAATTTATTCAGCATTCCTAGCTGAGGTACTATTTTAAATGAATTTTATTGTCAGCAAGCTGAGATGATCACACGTTAACAGGAATGGTTATTGTAAAGCTCCTAAAATGTGGCCAGGGCATTCCTGGAAGTCCTACGCACAACAATAGGGAATCATCTTTGCAACTTTTCCTTCTCCATGCTAGTCACATTCGAGTACCAGAGAACTCCTCAATCCTTATAAAAATGACTCATAGCCACAATGGATTCATTAAAGCACCATTTGTGAATATGTATCATTCTGTCAATGGCTCTCCAACGGTCATGCGGGGTGCATTGTTTACTTTGTGGTTTGGATTTGGAAAAGTGCTGAGTGCCTTGAGATGAGGAGACCCTGGAGTTCAAAACATGGCGCCAGCACGTGACCAGCCGCCAGGCTTCAGGGCAGATCTCCTTGTTCCCCAGGTGTGATTGGCAGCAGGAAGCGAAAGCTCGATGTCTGTCCCTCCTCTGATCAACACAGTGATGTGGTGTTGGGGTGGGGTTCTTCTCCCTAGAGCTGCCCTTGGGGGGTCACACAGGTACCAGTCTGCTCCCTGTGTACTGCTAACGACCTCTCAGCCTGTCCTGAGCTCCTCCACAGAGACCCTCAGGGGAGCAGAGGACCTTGCTGCAAAATTAGAACCTCACTCCTTTGACATATCTTTCAGAAATATTTACTTTCCTGAAAAAAGACTCTATTTGGTAAGACACCAAGGCCCTAAGTAGACTTTGAAATACTTATGGACTGTCTTTTGGTTTTTAGCTCATCAGAAGGAGAAAAGTATGGAATGAAAGTCTAAAAGGTGAGAGGTGTTGCACTTGGGTTTCTTGATCTAAGAATCCACTTACTGCTTTGTGAGCAAGTAGAAGCAAAGAGAGAGGCAGAGAGAGGGAGAGAGAGAGATCAATGAGAGCTTGCATTTCCTGGCCAGAATAAAAACCGCTAATTCAGGACCTGTGCTGAGAGACACCTGCTGAGTGGGCTGAAGTTGGAAGCCATCAGGGGAGGAAGGAGCCTTGGGACCAGGCAGGGAGCTGCTGCATTATCGACTGGACACTGTTAGCCAGCGCTTCAGACAGAGTCCGCCGCCTTTCCTCTAGCAGGAAAAACTCAATATTAGGGAGCATGGAACGTTGGAGCCAGAGAACTTGCTGTGGGGAGAAAAAGTAAAAAGATACAGACTGCATTAGATAGGCTCGCAAGGGTTCACCTCTCCATGGGGCTTCACCAGGCTTCTCAAATGTCAGCCTTCCAGCCTGACTGTACTCAACAACTTCTGGGAGGGGAGGAAAACAAGGGCAAGGTCTCTGAAGTTTGGATGTTCGGAGAGGGCAGGCTAAAGTGAAACTCTTTCAAGTGCCCGTTTTGAAAGGTTGTTTTCATCCCAAGAAAAATCAACCCAGAGGAATGAGAGAACAGTCACATAGCTGGCAGGTTTTCATGGCTTCAGACTGTGCTTTACAGTTTTCCATTGTCAAATTATATAACAGTTTCATCCTTAGAAATAAGCTAAATGAAAAACGAAAGAGAAAAGCCAACTCGTGCAGCTAGGAAAACCATAATAAACCTGTCGTTCAGTCCGCTTTCTCTTTTGAGAGTACCACGCTCCCCTCTGTGGAGTCTGTCAGTGGAATACTCAAAGTTCAAAACCCATGGCTCTCCACCTTTTTGTAAGTTCAGTGCCACCAATTTCCTTTCTCTTCCACTCTGTCTGCCTCCTACTCATCAGCCGTTAAAAACCAGCAACAAGAATCAGTTTGATGGCCCCAGGATGGACATTAAGCAAAGCTTCTCTCCAGCAAGAACACTCCAGCCTCTGCCAGCAGAGAGACAGACACTCGAAATACTGTAGGAAGCCACTTACTTACCTTTCGCCTGCTCTGCTCGTCTCAATACTTCAAGGGCTACAGTGCCTGGTCCTGCAGGGCCCCCCTGGAAGAACTGCAGGAGCTGATATAGGTTCAGAGGAAGCACATGGGGGCTCTACCGGGGAAAATGTGGAAAATCCAAGATTAAAGTGCCGTTATTTCGATTAGGGGAGAGTACAGTCTATTTCTTAGAATATGTGACTCAGTGCATATTTCCTTGTCATTGTTTGCAGGTTCACTTAACCATAAAGAGGGAAGAGAACGCAGTGAAGCATGGCTGCTCTGACAATGGGCTTTCTGCAGGTTAGCCAAATTTAACTGGCAAAAGCGCGCCCAGACCCTTTTGTGTGTGACATTTGCAATATAATGTCGTCCTTCTGCGCGTATTTCACACACCAAGTCTGACCATTTATCTCCAGAGATGGAAAAAGTCATTTTTGGTTCTGGCCTAAAAGTTACTTTATAAAGTATTGTACCATTTCCCTACAAAAGACACAAAAGGGGACCGAGCACTTCACAGGGCCACAATTAGGGCTTCTGTTTCCGCTCTCCTGCCCTTGTCAAAGCTTTGATTTAGTTTTCCTCAGTTTTGTCCAAGGGTCATTACAGATGTCTGCAGCCCATTAGCATCTCCCCCCTACCCCTCTCCTACTGGGTGATTAGCAAATTAAAACTGTGCATTCTTCTCTCTCCCAGTCCTTTCGCTAAAGATTAGCAAATGTGGCCATTTGTGGCGGGTGGAGGGTGTACTAAGGTGTTTGTCTCTGAATTTTGGGAGCTAAATATTAAGTTAGCAATTCAGAGCCTCCTCACGATACAAGCTGTAGTGTTTAATGAAGCGTTCAACTCTGAAACTTAGAAACAATTGTATCCTTGATGGGGGGGCGACAGGACCGTTTTTCAGCTTTGCCATCCAGAAAGGGTGCCAGCCTGACCCATTGTGAACTGGATTTGGCATCTGCCAGGAGTTGGGCTGAGCACATTTACAGGCTTCCCTGTCAGAAACCGAAGCCCCTGCTCGCCACAAGTACTGATTTTTAAAGCATTCACGTCTTATGAATTCAAGTAAATGCCAACTATAAATGAGGTATTCAAATGATCCAGAAGAGATGGAGGTTTCAGTTTCAAGTGGCAATTGAAATATAAGAGAAAGTTTCCTGGCTCCATCTTTGTTTCAGGAGAGCAAATGTTTGATTAGGTTAGCAGATTGCGGAAGGAAAGGCTTTGGCAGAATTACCCCCACCATATATAGGATCTAGAATCTACAGAGGGTCGGGCAGAAGAGGGCCAAATGTCAGGCTTCCACTCAAAATATACATCCTGCAGAAAGTGTATTCCTAATGTGTCTTCCTTGGGAGAACATCACTATAGTGGGTTTTTTTTTTTTTTTTTAAATAAAAACTTTCTTTTTTTTTCTTTATTCTCATAATTCTATAGTGATAACTCAAGAAAGAGAACACATATTTCTCAAAATATAAAAGATCAGTGGAAAGCGAGAAGGCAGAGGGCACATTAAGCCACCTATCAAGTCAATTATTAAGCTAGAGGTCAGGTGGAGACAACATTATTGCCGGTCTTTTCCTCTTCACTCCTGCCTGTTGAGATTCACAACACGGGCAAGGAAAAGCCTTCCTGACCAATCCCTCATTTCAGGACCTTGTCCCATGAAGCAGCCAGGTAGGAACGGAACGGATTACCCCTGGGACAGGAACCACTTTCTCTTGCCACCGAAAAGCTTTCTGCCACCCCTGAAACAAAGAAGCACATTGATAAATTCTAAAAAGGCAAGTTTGATGATTGAAGCCATCTGTGCTTTTTCGTTTTTGAGAAAAAAAAATTTTTTTAATGACATATCTCAAGCCCCTGACGACTGGCAAAGAAACAAGCTGGAAAGACGGGCTTGTGAACCAGAAGTCTGCGGACCACTCCCTTCCATCTTGTAAACAAGTGATCCCTAAATGAATACTTGGACTTAAAGGTAACATGTGCTGCTCTTGAGGTGAACTAAACCAAATCCATCATTTCTAAGATATTCTGGGTCCACAAAATACTGCACTAAATCAAAGTAGTTCGATCACCCAGCAAGATGTGATTTTCAGACTGGGAGAGTCTCCTGATAAATAGAATTTTATTTGTCTTATGTGATTCCTTTTATCACAGAGTGTAAATTCTACAGCATCTCATGGAGGAATTTCAGTTTAGTAATGAGGACACTTCATTAGTGATGTAATGTGCAAATGTAAACAATAATTACTAATTGAATGAAGGTAAACATTGTTGCACTTTGCCAAAGCTGACACTTGATATAAATGCAGTTTTCAGCAGAGAGCCGCCCTTGTTTGGCAAAAGTAAAATGGGGCCGCACTACTATTTCACCCAAGCCGTCAGCACGCTCCCTCATTTCCTCCTGTACATGCTTTCTTTCTTACCAGAAAAGGGGGTATTTGGCTAAATGACCTGAAGAGAATCCTCATCTCTTGCTGGCAAGTCAGTCAACTAATCAACTGTTGGGAATTTTTGCACAATGAAAGGCAGCATGTCTGGCTGCTTCCATGATGTCCCTCCAGTGTCTCTGCACCTTCCAGCCCTATCTGTCACAGTGCATTTCTTTTCTTCCCTCTTGCCTGCCTGAGCCCTGTGTACCAGCTGCCCAAGGCCAGGTACCCTTCATGCTTTAGAGAATGGTAGGAGTTCTTTGTGTTTTCTGTGCATTTCCTAGGCACACAGAATAGCTAAAAATGTGCTCGCTCACTTGGATTTATTATTTAAGATTTGATCTAGGAATTTCCACAAATGATGATAAGGAAGACAGCATAATTATAGCTAATGGTGCCCTATCACTTGTAGACAGAACTTATCTTCCAAACATTTCTTTTTGGAGGAGACAAAAAAGGTGCACTTAAGAAAAGATGGAAAACAGTCATGAACCAGGATGACCTCGGGTGACCTGGGCATGCAATCAGCCCAGCGAGCCGAGCACCCTGCCAGTGGCTTCCTGCGTCATGGCTGCCTAGGGTCCACACCACTGTCGTTCCCATCTTACTCACAGGTGAGCTGCAGTCCTGCAGCTGATGATGGGGAGAGGTGGGACTGAAATACAGGTCCAAACTCCTAGAGGAACACAGAAAGTTGTTTCAAAGTCTACGCTTGTAATTTCCTCATAATGTATAGAATTTGTTTCTAAAGAAAGAACACGAGTTTATAAGTGAAAGGCAGGAAAATCTGAGGAGTATAACATTGCCTTAGAGTACTAAAGAAGATATGTGTGTGTGTGTGTGTGTGTGTGTGTGTGTGTGTGTGTGTGTGTGTTTCTTTGGGGTACAAGGGATTGAATCCAGTGCTTTCACGTTAAACTATGTCCCTGGCCTCGGCCTCATTTTTACTTTTAAAAAATATTTTGACACCGGGTCTGCTGAAGTTGTTAAATAACCCAGAGTTCATTTAAAATTGTGACGATCCTGCCTCAGCATCCCAGAGTTCTGGGACTGTAGATAGGTGTCACTATATCTGGCTGGCTTTTTTGTTTTTTTTAGTAATTTAATAGTTAAAGAAAATGATAGCTTCAAACTTTTTGTATCCCAGATCTACAGAGACCCATGGGGTGAATGCCTCACCTAGATCACATGCCTGATTTTCACCATGCCACCCTTCAGCCTGCTGATGGCCCTTCTCCAAAATACACCGCACCTCCCCACCTCAGAGGTGGTACCTTTGCCTTTTCATGGCCTGAAGCTCTCTCATCATCCCAACGCATCTTTTATTCTGTCCAGATGGCCCACATGTAATCTGCTCAGAAAGGCTACACCTCATTTCCCAGGCTACAAAGACGTAGAGTCCAGAGCCAAAGCACATTGTAGGGTGCAGTGATCTGAACAGGAAGACGTAGTTTAATAGCTGAGTCACCCCAGCCTTCAGCTGTTTAATTTGAGACGGGAGGACCAAAGAGGTGATGGCTAGTGGGTCCGAAATGTTGGGGATCCATATGAGCAGATTAAGACTTAATCACTTAGGGTGTTGGTAGCAAAAAGGCTAACAGAGCTATGTCAGGACATGAGGAATTCAGATGGAAGCATGTAACTCTCCAAATCTGTGGTTCAGCACATAGACCACCAGCTGGGCCTGATTTACAGGGGCAGCACTGGATAGAATTATGTAATTTTGGATGGGATCATAGTTTTGTGAACTACGATTTCAAAAATAAAAACAAACTGAATAGGCATGAATATCAAAACAGAACAGGAGTGTGGCAATGTCCCATTGAATTTTGGAGTGTGGGAAATTTCAGTGCTCAATGGATTGTGTTGGAGAAACAATGAACATGAGGTAGGATTTCCTTGAGTTTGTACACTGATTGTCCCTTGGAGGCCTCTGTGGTAAAGGCTCTCTCCCTAGAATGACACTTGTGGAGGGTTGTGAAGCACTAAAGAGCCAGGGCTGGGCAGGAGGGTGGAGGTCTTGGGCTGTGCCCCTGAAGGAGACCTCAGCCCTTGTTCTTCTTCCTATCTTTTGCTTTTGGTTGCATGGTGAGCACTTTTGGCCCACCTCACATGACACTGTGATGAGCTGTGGTGCTAAGATTTAAACTCCCAGGACACCCCTGTCCCTGGAATGCCATATCTCAGACTGTGAACCAAAAAATACTTTTTCTCTGTATGAGTTCACAACCTGATATGCTGCTTTTATGGTAAAGGGAAGCTGAGTAGCACAGTATCATTTTTCCATCTTTCTTTCTTTCTAAAATAGGAGAGGAAAGATGTTAGGATAGCTTATCAGTTTCCTACAGCTTCTGTAACGAATTCTCACAACTTAAAGCACAGGACGTTCTACCCCTACCTTTTTGGAGGTCAGAAGTCACAGATGTGGCTTGACACAAACACATGGACCTGGCCCTGTCCTTGGGCTATCCGGGGTAGGGATGGTTCTGCCCCTTTTCCAGCCTCTGAGACTGCATATTTTCCTGGCCCAGGAGCCCTTTCTCCACTGTCTGAGCCAGCAGCACAGCATCTTCAAAGCACCATGGTGATGCCCTCTGATCTGGTTTGACCCCATTTCTTCCTTTCCTAGGGAGCCTTGTGATTGTAATACTTTAATGCTGCAGTATCTCCTGATCTCATGATGCCCAGAGTCAGCGTATCTGTCAAGCCACTTTCATTATATAAATAAAACTTTCATAGATTCTAGGGACTTAGTTCTCGATACCCTTGGGGACCATTTCTTAGCCTGTATAGAAGTGGTCCATTATTTGCATCTAACTCCTTTGTAAATGGAAGTGTCAGGTATTTCTT